CCCCCCCCCCACTTCAGGTACTTTGGGCCCCGGGCCTCCTGGCTGCCAGCTTCTTTCCCTTCTTCCCTCCCACTGGAGCCCTCCCCCCATCGCTCTCCCCTCCATAGCGCTCCCTGAGAGCATCTTTCCCGGCCTCTTCCAGCTTGCTCCAGCTTCTGCCTTCAGTCTTTTTCCATCTCTCTCCTCTACATCTCCCTCCTCGCCCGTTTCTCATCTCTCTCCTTCAAACCTCTTCCCCACGTTTCTCCCCGAAGCCCCTTCTCTCTCTCTCTCTCCCTCTCCCCTCTTTCCTACCTCTGTCTCCCCCATTTTCTCTCCCCATCTCTGTCTGCCACATCTTACTCCCCCTCCTTCTCCCTATCCCTCTCTGCCTTGCTCTCTCCATTCCTGCCCGGGCCTGACTCCCCCAGCCGGGGAGAATTGAGGGAGGGGGGCTCAGGCCGCAGCCCCCCCCCTTCCTGCAGTGGGGAAAATGGCTTGGCCGGGAAGGGGAGAAGGAGGGGGAGGGGGAGAGGGGAACACACGGGGTCTGTGGGCCCATTCAAAGGATCATTCATGGGCTGGAGAGAGGCAGAGACAAAGAGACCGAGACGCAGAGACACGGCGAGAGCATCCCTAGGCGGAGACACGCAGACAGAGCAGGCTGGGGGGAAACCAGGCGCAGGGAGAGAGATGGGGAAAAGGAGACCCCAGTGGACCGCCACGCACCCCCCTCCTCCCGGCCCGGCTTAGCTCCTACCTGGCTCAGCCCTGGGGCCGTGGTGCCTCCATCCAGGGCTCCGAGTAGGGGGCGGACGGGCTTCGGGAGGGGGGCGGCGGCCTCTGAGCCCCCGCGGCCCCGCAGGCCCAGCCCCCGCCCGCAGCGCCTCACCGGGCGGGGGAGGGGGATCGCCCCAGCCCCGGGGGGCGGGGCCGGGATCCAGTCGATCCCCGGGGAAAGGAGAGGTAGGGGATGGGGTCAGGAGGAACCCGAGAACAGGGAACCCCGCAGTGGGGCCGGAAGAGCGAAGAAGGGGCAACAAGAAAGGACTGGATTGGGGATCCACTGGCTCCGTGGGCCGTCTTCGAGGGATCAGAAGGTGGTACAGGCGGAAGATCCTAAGGGATCGGGTGCGGGAGGAGGTGTCCACAGCAATCCCCAGGGGCCAGGAGCCCGGGAGCGCAGGATCAGCGGTGCAGGGGCCAGGATCCAGCCGGAATCCTCGGGGAGGGGGAGGGATCTAGTCGATCCCGAGGGCGGGAGGGAGGGGGAGGTCCAGGGAGTCAGAGGAGGGCGGGAGTCGAGTCTGAAGCCCCAGGGTGGGGGTCGACAGGGCTCCTAGGAGGGGAAGCGGGGGTAAGGGGGAGGATTCGGGGGACGCTCAGCAGCCAGGAGGCCCGGACTCCTGGCTCCGCGCGCCAGGGCCCACCCGCCCCGCGTCCATCCCAGCCCGAGAGTGATGATCCGCCGGCGGAGCAGCCGCAGCAGCCCCGCGCGTCACCGCGCGGCCGCCTCCCCCGCCCCCTGCGGAGAGAGCGGCGCACACCCCTCGCTCGCACCCGCCTGCCCGCCCGCCCGCCCTCCAGAGTGTGGGGGGATTGGAGACGGTGGAAGGGGGCGGGAGCGGACAGACCGACGGATGGACGAAACGGGCCAGGGCAGGGTGGAGACATCCCCCCTCCCTAGGTCTCCCACCCTCGGGGCTCTGGGGGTTGGTGGGTTGGGGGCGCGGGGAGGGGGGGGTAGACTATAGGGGGCGGAGCATCATGTGAAGAAGGCGGAGCCTTGCATCTGTGGGAGGAACCATCTCGACAGTGGGCGGGGTTTGACGGCGATGGGTGGGGCTTGGCTTTCCGAGCGGCCGCCTCTTTTTGGGAGTGGGTCTGGTTTAAAGCTGGAAAGGAGGAACCAGTGGGGAAAGGGGCGGAACTTTGCGTGGGGACCGGGATCTTTGGAAATTGGCCGGAGGTGGGGGGGTAGGTGTTAGAAGAAGCGATCAACTTTGAAAGTGGGCCAATCCGTGACGCAAATCCTCTAGTCCCGCCTCCCAGCCCCGCCCCTCAGCGCTGGGCTCCTCCGCTGCTAATTGGTTCCCGTTTCTCCGCCCGCCAGACGGCTTCGCCACTCAGCAGAGGTTTTACAAAGGCGCAGGTACCCGGGTGAGGACCCGGGCGCTGAAATGAACACGGCCTGGATTGGGCACTTGTGGACTTCATTTGCATGGGAGACCGGGATTGGCTGGCCTCTCGGGTGGCCTGGGCGGTGTTCGTCCAGCGCGTGACCGTCCACTGCCATGGCCGGCCCGGGTGTTGCTTTCCGCCGCTTGGGCGCCTTGTCAGGAGCCGGGGCCTTGGGCTTGGCCTCCTACGGGGCGCACGGTCAGGGGCTGGGGACGCAGCTCACACTGCGACGCCCGTTGCGGGGAGGTGGGGGCGTCTAGTGCAGGGGCGGGGCCTGGGGGAAGTGCCAGACAGCCCTCGGAGCCCCGGCCCTTTTACAGCCCCTCCAGCCGGGTCCGGTTTGGTTCCCAGCAGTGCCGGTGCGTGCTTCCACCAATTAGAGTGGAAGACACTCCTTGTCGCCAGGGTCCCCCTGGGTCCCGCCGGGAGCTGGGGCGGGCGCGCCGGCGCTTCGACGGGTAACCTCTGCCTCTCCCTCCACAGGCGCCCAGTTTCCGGATGCCTACGGGAAGGAGGTGAAGCACCCGCGCTGGGGCTCCCCGCCTCCGGGTCTCCGGGCGCCCAGAGTCGGGGGTCGCCGCGGGGAGCCGCAGGGGAGCGGGGCGCGGGGTCCCGGAGTGCCGAGGGCGGCCGGCCTGAGCCGTGGGTGCCTGCGCGGGAGGCCAGCCCGACTCGAGTTGGGGGCCGAATGGGATCCAGGCTCCCGCCTTGCTGGGGAAATGGCACCCACCCCCAACCACCTTTCTCTTTTCCTTACAGCTGTTTGACAAGGCCAACAAACACCACTTCATACACAGCCTGGCCCTGTTAGGGGTGCCCCACTGCAGAAAACCCCTCTGGGTAATTTGACCCCGCGCCTAACCTCGACCAAGCCCCACCCGCTCCCGCTCGGTCTGCCCTTCTCTTACTGGCCTGTGTTCTTCTTGTATCTCCTTCAGGCCGGGTTACTTCTGGCCTCGGGAACCGCCTTATTCTGCACCAGCTTTTACTACCAGGCTCTGAGTGGAGACCCCGGCATCCAGACTTTGGCCCCGGTGGGAGGGAGCCTGCTTATCTTGGGCTGGCTTGCCTTGGCTCTTTGAGCTTCCGTGTGTTTGCTTTCTGGGTCCTTCTTTGAGAGTTGGAGCAGGGAGGGGATTAAAAGAGAAAGGCAAATAAAGTCACTTGAGTCTTTGTTCATCTTGGAGGAAGAAGGGTAGGGATGGTTGGCCTCTGGACTCCCTCCCTTTCCTAAGACTGAGTCCGGTCTGGGGCTTCTGTTCAGTTCAAGTTGACTTGTTACGAGGTTCTTAGACCGGAGGGCATGGGAGCTGTAAAGTGCTAGAAGCCACGCAGAGTCTTACTGGAGTGTTCTCTGACACCTGGGATTCTGGGTTCTGATAAGCTCATCCTGTGGTTCCGATGCTCACGGGAACTTGAAGATGACTTTAGGGTGGTTTTCAGCCCTGGCAGCCCACAGATTTACGGAGCCCTCACTCTAGCAGTCAGGACACACAGGTGGATGGCCATTAGTTATAAAATACCTTGGGGTTCAGCACAGGGGCAGATCATCATGTATGGGGGGCGCAGTCAGGAAATGCTTCATGGTGCCCGAGCAGAGGTGGGGAAGGGAAGAGTCACATTGTGGGTGGGCGGAATTTCTGAGGCAGGAGAGTGAGAAAAGGTGGCCAGGCAGGCTGGTGAGGCACCGACGGTAGGTAGGGAACCGGAAGAGATGTAGGGGGCAGCCAGGGCCCGTGAATTAGTCATCATGTGTCAGACACACATTACAAGGAAATTAAAGTCTGAACAAGATAGACGCCATCATTTCCCCATGGAGTTGCCCATCTAGGAGTAGAAACGGATTTCAACAACTCAACGTACAAATGGGTCATTGTGAGTTGTGCTCTGTGCTTGAAGGGAAAGAACAGGGAGGCAGGGGGACTGTTGGGTAGTGGAGTAGGGAAGGGGAGTAGGGGGAGTGGGAAGCCGTCACAGAGGAAGTCCACTGAAGCGGGAGCTGATCAAGTACAAGGTTGGATGGGAAGCATATATATATATTTTTTTTTGAAGATTTTATTTATTTATTTGACAGAGAGAGGGAACACAAGCAGGGGGACTGGGAGAAGGAGAAGCAGGCTTCCCGCTGAGCAGAAAGCACAGTGCTGCAGGGCTCAGTCCCAGGACCCTGGGGTTATGACTTGAGCCCAAGGCAGACATTTAACAACTGAGCCACCCAGGTGCCCCGAGGGGAAGCATATTCTAGACAGGAAGAATAACCTTCAGAACAGACTGCAAAGAAGCTGTTTAAAATCCTTGAGGCAGGAGAAAATCAGGTGCACTGGAGAAGGGGCAAAACCAGCGTGGCTGATGGGTAGTGACGAGGGCCCCAGATCCCGGATGCCCATGCGGGCCTTGCCAGGAGTGGTAAGGCACTTGGAATTCATTTGTAACGCAGCAGTAAATGGTTAAAAGGTTTGAAGTCAGAGAATGCTAGGATCTGATGTCTACGTTTAGAAGACCTGGAGAACCCATCGGAGGAAGGCAGGAGAGGAGGTCCAGGTACAAGATGATGGTGGTGGCTTGGCTTAGGGTGGAAGAGATGGTCAGAAGGGCCCAGGTCAGATGCATTTCGAAGGTGGTGCCGATGGGACCCGCTGATGGACTGGATATAAGTGCTGAATGAGCGGGAGCCTTCCGGGTTATACACCTGCTGGAGGTGCTGTTACTAGGATGAGAAAAACAGGCAGATTAGAGGAGGCAGGTTGGCAGGTGTTGGACGGTCTGCTTCTGAAATGCCTGGTTCACATCCAAGCAGGTAGTTGGGGAGCTCAGGGAAGTTCTGGACTCAGGCTTACGCATCACCCACCGACCCCCGCTGGTCTCCCATCCCATCTCTTCCCCATAAATGCCCTTGGAAGGATCCTGTGACTCTCTAGGACCTCTGGTTGCGCAATCCAGCGGATGGCTTTCAATCTTGTTGTCTTCGGCCTCTGCAGCATGGGACACAGTTGGCCACACTGTCCTCGGAACACGACCTTTTTTTTTTTAAGATTTTATTTATTTATTTGGCAGAGAGAGATACAGCAAGAGAGGGAACACAAGCAGGTGAGTGAGAGAGGGAGAAGCAGGCTTTCCGCCGAGCAGGGAGCCCGATGTGGGGCTTGATCCCAGGAGCCTGGGATCATGCCCTGAGCCGAAGGCAGATGTTAACGGCTGAGCCCCTCAGGCGCCCCGACAACCTGTTGCTTCTCTGTCACTCCTCCTGCTTTTCCCTCTCGCTGTGGCTGACCTACCAGCTTCCCCTTCGCCGCCCAGTTTAGGTCCAAGGTTTTCAAATTTCAATGAAGAGTTAGAACACCTGTGTGTATGTATTTTAACATCAGCTTTGTTACTTTCCATGTTTGTGTGTTTCATCGAGTGCATATCTGTGTGGTGTGCTGGAGGCACGTGCTTAGTTTTTCCGAAGGTGTGCATTCGGAAAAAGTACAGGCCGTTTCTCTAAATGGAGGATTTTGGGGGTAATCTCCGTGAGCCCCCATCTTCAGTTATAATCTGAATACTTTTAAACCTAGGATTTCTGTCTCCCGCCCTAGTCCCTTCTGAGCTCTGGACTCCTGTAGCAGCTGCAGTGTGCGAAAACGTTCCGTAGGGACCTGAAGGATGCAGTGGGGGGGGGGGGTGTGTGTGTGTTCCAGACCAGGGTAGGAGCTTTTGAGGCAGCCCTGAAGCAGACGAGAGCCCAGTGGACTTGCGACCTGAAAGAATTCCTGGTGACCAGGGGTGCCCGGGTGGCTCAGTCGGTTAAGCCTCTGCCTTCAGTTCTGATCGTGATCCCAGGGTCCTGGGTTGGAGCCCCGTGTCGGGCTCCCCGCTCAGCTGACAGTCTGCCTCTCCCTCTCTACCTGACTGCAATCCCCACTGCTTGTGCTCTCTCTCTCTGTCAAATAAATAAAATCTTTAAAAAAGAAAAAAAAAATTTGGTGAATGGCTTGAAAACCAGGAGAGGGTTATAGTGAAAAATGTGGATACCGGGGGCCAAAGGGTGGGGAGCCTCGGGCTGAGAAGTCGGGCTCTTCTGAGGGCAGTGGGGAGCCACAGAAGCTTTATATCCAGGAAGGAGGCATGAGTTGAGGTGTATTAGTACAAGATCACAATATTTCTACATTTTAGTGAGGACAAAAATGCAGCCTCAGAGGGACGCCCAGAGAGGTCCAGAGTGCCAGTGGCGGAGCCAGCCCGGGATCCCCAGGCTCCAAGCGCCCAGTCCAGGGCTCCTGCTGCATTTCCATCCTTCACCCCAGGCAGCACGTGGGGACAGCACAGCGGAGGACCTCCACGTGGAGGAGACCCCAACATTGGGAATGGCAAGCTTCCCTGTACTATGATCCTTAACATCTGAGCTTTGACCCTGCCAGTGTGGGAGGGGGGCCCTTGAGGAACCAAGATAAATAAGGCCCGCTTAGTAATTGGTCCCTGTTATCACGGCGCTGTGGTTTCCAGTTCTTGCGGGTCCTACAAGGCAGCGGGAAGTGAAGCTAGCAGAGGGGAAGCAGCTTGTCTGTATCACAGTCGGGTGTAAGCCAGGATCCAAACTCCCTTCTGTCCAGCTCCCCGTGATAAGTCCTTTCCTTCTTGTACACGCCAAGACATTCAGACTTCAGCAGTGTAGACAGACCCTAGCAAAAGCAATTTGTTCCAGCGTGATCGGTGTTACATGTAGGTACGGAGGCAGGCTCCTTTTGCTTTGGGGGACTGGTAAGGCTTCTGCCCACCTGCAGGGCATCAGCGTGAATAGTTCACCAGAAGAAAAGGGACAAACCACACTGGGGACAAGTCAGGAGGGAGAGCTGGAGTTTCTGGAGCGCAGGATGGAGTGGGCAGGCAGGAAATGACCAAGCAGGAGGAGCAGAGTCCCGTCAGGAAGGGCCTCCTGGGCCCAGCCCCAGTCAACTTCGCTTGCCCGTTTTCTCACATTCTGTACCCAAGCAAGCCATCAAGGCTGGTTGGCTTAAATGCAAACCCGGAATCTCACCACCGGCTCGTCACCTACCACTCCGGCCCCTGGTCCGAGCCCCCATCACATCCCACCTAGTTCTTCCAAGAACTTCTAGTTCTAGTTACCTTGCCTGCCTACTCCAGACAGAGCAGCCTGAGACATCGGGGTCCTCAGTCTTTAGCTGCACATTAAAATCTTAAGAAATTCTCAAAAAGGTCTCCTGTCTACACTGACCTCAGATATTCTAATTGAGTTGATAGGACCCAGGGCTCACGCAGAGGTATTTTGTGAAGCTCCCAGAAGATTCTCTCTTGTGGCCAGAGTTGAGGACCCCTGATTGAGTGTCAGTTTCCGGTCTCCATCCAAACCCTGCAACCCTTCCCATCTTACTCAGAGTCCAATCCAGTGGTCTGCAGGGCTGTATGTGGTTCGGGCTTCTATGACCTCTCTTCTCCCTGGTTCCTTCCATGCCGGCCGCACTGGCCTCCTTTCTGTCTGTTGAATAGGTAAGGCAGAGCTTTTGCCTTTGGCGTTCCCTCCACCTGAAACGTTCTTCCGCAGAAGTCGGCCTAGCTCGATCCTTGACCTCTAGGTCTTTGTTCAACTCCCACCTCCTTAGTGGCACCTTCCTCGCCCACCCCCTTCAGTAGCGCCACTCCTGCCCACCACCTGTATCCTCCTTACCTTGCCCTATTTTTCTTCAGAGCACTCATCACATCTGCCCTCTAGAATACTTTACATTTTCTGTCTCTTCTCTACTAGAATGCAAGCCACAGGACATCAGCAATTTTTAATTTCTCTTTTAACTGCTGTAGATTCCTGGGCGCCCAAGAGGCTCAGTCGGTGAAGCGTCTGCCTTGGGCTCAGATCAGGATCCCTGGGTCCTGGGATCAAGCCCCGCATGGGCTCTCCCTGCTCAGTGGGGAGCCTGCTTCTCCCTCTCCCTCTGTTCCTCCCCATGCTCGTGCTCTCTCTCTAATAAATAAAAATCTAAGAAAACAAACAAAAACCCACTATGTGTTCCTATCAGTGCCGTCTGACACAGAGTAGGTGCTCACAGAGTCTTTGCCGAGTAACCGAATTTCCGTATGTTTATATGGTTCTGGCCAAGTCGAATCTGAGGTACTAAGGGGTACCCAGGGAGAGGTCAGGCACTTGGGTCTGAAGTTCACGATGATGAAAGCTGTGGCAGCAGCTGACCAGTCCGGAGGAGCATGGACATAGGGGCAAAGGAGCTCACTGTCACCCCCAAACCTTCTCCCTGTGTCCCTCTTGAGGGGTGACCTCAAGGAGTGACCTGGTCACCAGACAGGGACTGAACTCCTCACCTCCACATCTCACCCCTCCAACAAGTTCTATGTTACCGTCTAAGTGTCCCCCAAGTCTGCCACGTCTATCTGTCGGCACTAACACAGCATCTTCTCCCCCAGCGACTGTCCCGGGTGCCTGCACGGTCCACCTTGCGGTGTAAGTGGTTTCTCTAAAACACAGAATCGACCTTCTTCTTGGGTCTGAAAGTGTTGCGGTGGGCTCCGTGTGGTCCCCGGTGCCAAGTCCCGGCTCCCAGCAGGCCCGTACACGTGCGCTGGCCTCCCTGTCTAAGCTCCTGTCTTACCGCTCAGCCCGTGGGGCCCCAGGCCCTGGGCTTCCTCGCAACTGCGGGCCTCTGCTCAGGACGGAGAGGCCACTCTTCTCGGGAGGCTTTCCTGCCAACCACGCTGCCTCCTCCGCTCCCCTCCCTGCGCCGCACGGTCACCGCTGACACCGCTGGGCGGCCTGTCACCACGTGGCCTGGGGTTCCTGCAGGCACTACTGTAGTTGCAAGGTGTCTGCGTGGGTGACTGCGGCGTCACGGAGAGGAGCCCGCGAGGCAGCCCCCGGGAGGCCGAAAGGGAACCGGGGACCAGTCCTGTAAGCCAATGAGGGAGTGTGAGGGTGTTCCGCTGCGTCAGCGGGGCCCGAACCGCCCTTGGGAGGAGGAGCCTGGGGTCCAGCGCCGCGCAAGCTGACCTAGCTTCCCACCCAGGGACACGGAGCCCTCCGCACCCGCAGACCTGGCGGGGTCGCAGGGCTAAGTCTCCGCCGGCGGCCGTCCCCAGGCGAGCGTCCTCCGGCCTGGGGCTGCGGAGCGGAGGAGGAGGGGACGCCGACCACCCCGCGCAGCCCGAGGTCCACCGCCAGCGGAGAGCCGGCCTCTTTTGTGCGCAGGCGCACCGCCCGGGCCGGGAGGGGCGGGGCCTGGACGGGTCGAGGGGCGGGGTCAGTTCTCGGTCCCGCCTCCCCGAGCTCCTGTGAGCCGCCGGGAGCTGGGCACCCCAGCTCTTCCAGGGGCTTCAGGTGAGCAGGGGGCACCGAAGGGTCAGGACGCCTCCCCGGAGGTCGGGCCGTTGGTCGGGCCGCGGGTCCATCTGTCCTGCCGTCTGCCAACAGCCGCCTCCGCGGAGAATGGGAGAACAAAGGAGGGGGCGGTTCTGGGGCCCCCGAGGGAATGCAGGGTCGCAGGTACCCCGCCCTGCCCGCTGACAGTTTCGATTTCTCCCTGAGTCAGAGGTGCCGCCCTAGAGACCCTGGGCCGGCGGCGGGCGCAGCCGCCTGTCCGCGTTTGCCTGTCCGTCTTTGTGTCTGTCTCTGGGTCTGTCTGGCTGTGCCCGAACTTGCCTCCGCCGCTCAAACTGAGCCTCCCGGACACCCCGGTATCCCGCCAACTCGCCCCTCTCCCATGGCAGGTAAGTGGGCGCCGGGCGGAGGGTCTCCGTTATCCCCCCACGGACTCGGGAGCCGGGCGTCGAACCCATCCTCCGGGAATGTGCTCCGACTGGCTGCGTGGGCCCCTCCCTTCCTCCGGGAGCCGCCGCCCTGCTCCCCCGCCGCATCTTTCTCGGCCTCTTCCCATCACACTCCCCACTCCGCAGCCTCGCGGCCCGGCGCCTGGGGGAAGTGGGTGAGGCCGCGGGTCCCCTTCTAATCCACCCCTGTCCCCCTCGACAGGCTACTTGCCCCACAAAGGGCACGCCCCTTCACCCCCACCTCCCTACCCTGTGACCGCGGGGTACCCGGAGCCGGCGCTGCACCCCGGGCCCGCGCCGGCGCCAGTGCCCGCCCACGTACCTGCCCCTGCGCCCGGCTTCTCTGTCTTCCCCTCTCCCGGCCCCGGAGCCCCAGGGCCTGCCGCCCCTTTCTTGCCACTGCCCGGGGTGCCTTCCGGCCTCGAATTCCTGGTGCAGGTGAGTGGGAGGGAGGATGGGTGGCGGGATGAGGAGGGGACCCTGGCGTCCAGGCCAACCCACTGACATCGCCGCCCACCCCACTCTCTTTCCAGATCGATCAGATCTTGATTCACCAGAAGGCTGAGCGCGTGGAAGGTGAGTGGAAGGGGGAGTAGGTTGGGCCTCATGGCAGGTGGGGTGGGGGGGAGGGGGCACTCTCGGGGGTGCCCGTGCCTGAGCCTCGGCCTGTCCCCCGTGGCAGCGTTCCTAGGTTGGGAGACCTGTAACCGGTATGAACTGCGCTCGGGGGCCGGCCAGCCCCTGGGTCAGGCGGCGGAGGAGAGCAACTGCTGCGCGCGTCTGTGCTGCGGCACCCGCCGGCCCCTACGTGTCCGCGTGGTGGACCCCGGTGACCGCGAGGTGCTCCGCCTGCTCCGCCCGCTCCACTGTGGCTGCGGCTGCTGCCCGTGCGGCCTCCAGGAGGTGGGCGGGGAGGGCCGGGGCCCATGAGGGGTTCGGGCTGGGGGCCAGGCCATCGTGGGGAGGACCACTGACTGAGCACGGTCCGCTCGCAACGAGGCGTGGGCTCGGGCCGGTGAGATGGGCGGCCGTGAGGGCGGTGACAAGTGGTCTAGCGAAGGGGACGGGAGGTCTTGTGCGGGGAGACGGATGACAGAGCCTGACCGGTGAGAGCTTGGGCCGGGGTGCCCTGGCTCGGCTGATCCTGTCTGCCTCCCACTCCAGATGGAAGTCCAGGCTCCCCCCGGCACCACCATTGGCCACGTGCTACAGACCTGGCACCCCTTCCTCCCCAAGTTCTCCATCCAGGATGCCGATCGCCGCACCATCCTGCGTGTGGTGGGGCCCTGCTGGACCTGTGGCTGCGGCACAGACACCAACTTTGAGGTACCGGGAATAAGGGGAGAGTCTTGGGACCTTCATAAACCCAGATGGCAGCTTCTGTGAGGTAGGATGGCCAACACGAAGGTCAAGACCCTGAGCTCTAACATCCAAACCCACTGTGACTCGTACCACACTTCCAGGGTTCCTCCACTCAGCAAGGGATGTCCCTGTGGTCCTGAGAAATGAAAGCTTTGCAAAGAGGGTGTCATCTTAGGGACCAGTGCTGATGGTCGTCAGCAGCCCTGTGTGGAAGGGGAAAGAGTCTAAGGCCAGGCCTGATTTAGGGCAAGTCTGCTGTGGGCTGGACCCACGTGGCTGCTTTGCAGGAGTCTGTGAACCCAGACCCAGGAGCAAGCACCAGACTTGCTAAGATCCTGCCACTTGCCCCGCCAACCTAGAAGTCCAAACAGCCCCTCCAACCGGGAATCTGGGTGATCTCTATCCCCGTCATCATGCGTTTCTCTCATCTGCCAGGAGAGCCCAAGTGCTGATACTCTCAGGGGAAGGTTTCTAGAAGACAGGCATCTCACCGACACTTGAGTTCCCTCAGGGATAATCACCCGTACAGATAAGGGAGGGATAACAGGTAGAAGCCCACAGACTTCCCAAGGCTGTTGATGAGGTGTTTGGCCTAAGCCTGCTTTTTTTTTTTTTTTTTTTTAAAGATTTTATTTATTTTTATTTGATAGACAGAGATCACAAGTAGTCAAAGAGGCAGGCAGAGAGAGAGGGGGAAGCAGGCTCCCTGCTGAGCAGAGAGCCCCATGTGGGGCTCGATCCCAGGACCCTGGGATCATGACCTGAGCCGAAGGCTGAGGCCCTAACCCACTGAGCCACCCAGGCGCCCCTAAGCCTGCTTTTAAAATTGGAGTCACCTTGGTGTGTGGGTGGAGGTTCCATGATGGGAAGATCACCGGTGAGCTCTGGATAGGAACATGGAGACCTCGGTGCCTTCACAGGGCCAGTCTCCCTTTTACCTAATTGTGAAGGATCCCTATTTGGGGCTGCAGTTGGGACCCCAGGGCTGGCCGGAAGAAGCCCTTCCTCATCTTGAGACTGGTCTGTGGGAGTGCCCCAGCTCTGGGGGGTAGTGGGGAAAGGTGATGGGAAGGGCATCGTTCCAGTCATGAAGACTAAGCCTAGGAAAAGGACCAGGGGATCACTGTGAGTTCCCACCCTCAGCGGCAGGGTCTCTTGCTGCTGGGCCCAGGGAGGCCCGTGGAAATCTGGGTCCTCACAGGCCACTTACTGCTGCCCCCATAGAAGCGGGTGGACGAAGCTGGCATGTGATGGTGGACAGGGCCTGTCCTACTTTGCAGATTAGAGGAAAACCACCCCTTCGGGCAGCCACAGCCTTCCAGGAGCCTGGGGGGTTCCTAGAGCTCAGCCTGCCCAGCCCTGCTTGACCAGGCTACTGTGTTCAGGGCACCCAGGGCACCCACCATGGGTGCCGGGTACTTTGGTAACCAGAACAAACCCAGCCGGCAGCCCTGCGCTGAGACGAGCCCATCACACTTCCACGTGTCCCACCGCTGATGTTCTGTTCTCACGTGTGGCCTTTTAAGAGCCACGCATCAGAGCCCGAATTCTGATTTTTGCTATACACACACAGCATGACCTAGGCTGACTCAGTTTCCCCCGATGTCCCGTGGAAACCTGGGGCTGTCGGAAGGATTCCCCGAGTGGAGGGCCTGCATGGTTCGTGCGGGGTGATGGTGGGGGGTCAGTCGCATCCTTCCCAGTTGGGTTCTGCCCCCCACCCCCAGGTGAAGACCCCGGATGAGTCCCGCAGTGTGGGCCGCATCAGCAAGCAGTGGGGGGGGCTGCTCCGAGAGGCCCTCACGGATGCAGATGACTTCGGCCTGCAGTTCCCGCTGGATCTGGACGTGAGGGTGAAGGCCGTGCTGCTGGGAGCCACGTTCCTCATTGTGAGTTGGCCGCCCTGCCTCCCCTCCTGCCCCTCTGCTCTCACGCCAGGCTTTGAGCTCTGGTGACAGTGCCCTCCCCTCAGGACTACATGTTCTTCGAGAAGCGAGGAGGCGCTGGGCCTTCGGCCATCACCAGTTAGAGGCCACCTCGGGGTGAGGAGACCATCACCTCAATGGGGAATCCAAGATGGCGGCCTGCCCCACCCCCTCCTCAGAGGCAGCCCCTTCTGTGGATGCACATGACAGGGGACAGACAGGGATGCCTGAGAGTCTAGGGGCCACGCGGCCCTACCCCTACCCTCATTCCCCGGCCTCCTTCACCTCAGCCCCCAGAGAAGGGTATATAGGAGAGCCCTGCCCCTGCGACCTCCCACTGCCGTCTCTGGCGAGCCCCCAGCGTGCAGGCATATCCGCTTTCAGACTCTCCCTCCCCTCCCCGTCCTCTCACCCCCTACCAGGCCTCTGCTCCACGTGTGGTCTGTGGAATCCAGAGCCCTGGGGTTTTCTGACAGAGCCGGGGGTGGGGCCCTGCAGCACCAAAGATGGCGGCAAAGGCCGCTCTCCCCCCGCACCGGCTTGGCCAGCGAGTCCAGCCTCAGACCGTGGGCCTCTGAGGAGGGATCCCCGCCTCCCTGTCAACAGCTATAGGGCCTGCCCTCCAGTGCCAACGTCCTTCCCCCTTGGGCCTTGCCCGCAGCTGGCGCTTAGCAGCTCCCGTGCCTTACGCAAGCATCCCGTCCTTTCCTCACCCGGGGAAGGAGTCTGCACCTTTGTATGTTATATTCATATAAAGTTTGTAACTTTTGGATACTGGGAGATGTATGTCATAGGAGAGGAGAAGCGTGGGTGCGGGGAGAAACCCAGGGAAACAGGGGGGCCTACTGGGGGGGGTGGCTGGCCCGTTTCCCCATCCAGGCTGCCCAGGTCCAGTGTCTTTGAGTTCAAGAGGGCAACGCCATCCTCCATCATGGCCCCGGACTGAGCCAAGCAGTCTGGGCCACGTACCCCGAGTCCGTAGGGAGGCTTCTGCCATCTGGGATGGCTGCGCACAGAGTCCGGCGGGGTGGGGCCTGGCTGCTCTGGATGGCTGTTCCCAAAGTCCTCCTGAGCAAGCGGAAGCTTCCTGTGCATGTGATGTGTCTCTCCAAGTTCTCTTGGTTGGGAATACGGTAGGCAGACCGGACTAGATGCTTCTGTGAACCAGCCAAGGGGGCTGGAGCCTTCAGAGGCCAATGGGCACTGGAGGAGATACTCGCCCATGCCTGGCCCCAGCTCCTGTTGCAGCTGCCTCCGGCACAGTCTCCCCGCAGAGGAAGTTCTGCCCTGGTGGGATCCCTTCTGGTTCCGCTTGGTCCCACATGGCCAGGCCGTCCATCCGGGCTGGTATCCAGGCCCAAGGGGGCAGCGCTCAGGGCCGAGCCAGGACATAGCGACTGGCCGCGGAGAGATCCCACTGGTAATGCTCCAGGATGCGTCGGCAGTCGGCTCTGGACCGGCTGCTCAGATGGTAGAGCTGGTCCACCTGTGGGGTGGCAGGGGGGGACAGTGAGTGCCGGGTGGGGGGGATAGTGAGTGCTGGGCAGTGGGGACAGTGAGTGCCGGGCGACGGGTGGGGGCCACAGGAGCGGCAGGAACCCGAGAGCAATGTCCGGCTTTACCTTGAGGTTCCGGATGGCAGAAACCACGTCTCCCCCAGTGGCCCTCAGTGCCGCCTGGCACTCCTGGTGGGTGACTCCGTGCACGCTCAGCCCCACCTGCAGGGCACAAAGCCTCGCTCAGGCCGCTGCCCCAGCCCAGAGCCCCCTCTGGACACCAGCCACTTGAAGGAGAGCTCACCTCTGTGACCCTCCTCTGCAGCTCAGAGTCGGGCAACAGGCCTCCAGAGGGGATGGTGGCTTTGCCAGTGGCAGGCGCTCCCGAGGGCTGGCTGTGGGGGAGTTCCCTTTTGGGCCAAGGAGGCCGCTCCCTGGCGGGCTGGCTGGGCTGAGAAGGGCTGGAGGCAAAAGAAGTCCGGGATGGCAGGCCTGGGGGTCCCTGGGGCACAGCTCTGGCATGACGAAGTTCGGGGGGGCTCGAACCGCCCCCTGTGGGGCGGGGACCCAGGGACAGAACAGACTCCAGACTCTTGGAAATGACTGTATGTTGAGGAAAAAAAAAATAGAGCTTGAGAGGGAGCACAGGCGCAGGGCCCTGCCTTCTCCCCACTCTGTGCCCAGCTCTTGGGGTGACCCTTGGCTAGGGGTGCAGTAGGGTGTGCCCAGCAGACACCCAAGTCGAGGCAGGGGAGGCCCCAAAAGGCCGAGGTGGCAGGAGCTGGAAGTGGGGTGGGCAGTCCCTCAAGTCCCGCCGGGCTGTCCGGCCAAGTGCGCCAAGTTCGGGACTCCAGGCAGGGGGAGACTCGATGAGTCGCTCTTGATCCCGAGACCCCGGAGGCCAGGTCCCCATCAGCCACGCCCACCTTTCATCCTCTGCAGGGGCACGTTCCTATTCCTTCTCTGGGCCCGTGCAGGAGGTAAATCCCGAAGCTTTGCCTTCCCTCTGTCCCTGTGGGAGACAGGGATCCCATTCACTCTCCACACCCCCACCCCTGACCTGACTAGCCGTGTCCCCTCCCCCAGAAATGTTAGGGGGCTCTCCCAGGCAGGCGGAGACTCAGAGGGGACACTCCAGCTGGGAGCTGAGCCCAGCCTTCCCTCCAGCCTCGCCCGGGCCCCCTCCCCAAGCTTCCTTTCCAGAGAAGTTGCAGGATGTGGTTCCCCCAGCCCAGCTGTGTCCCCTCTCCACACCCCACCCCACTGTTTCAGGTGCCCACCCATCTCCGCTTTCCTGCTGTCGCTCTCCCTGGGTAGGGGAGACCCTCTGGACCGGATGGGTGGCTGGCGGGCCCCCCCCGTCTGCCAGCGTCACCGCTGAGGCCGGGAAGCTGCCCACTTTGAGTGTCCGGCCGTTCTGGCCCTTCCAGGTTGTGGAGTCGGGGCTGTGGGAAGAGGCAGTGGTGAAGGCGCCGGGCGGGGGCTGGGCGCGAGCCCACATTCAGCTCGCAAGCATCTGCCTGGAGGAAGGGAAGCTTTTTTTCTCCCAAACACAAAAGGGCTCTATGGGCTTGGTGGCTCCAGCCGGAGGCCACCACAATGGTAGTGCAGCTCTTGGGGCCCAGTGGGGTAGAGGGGAGGCAGAGAAGCCGGGTTCAAGGAGCTGGGGAGCAGCAGGTCGGACCCGCATCAGGAAGGTGGGCTGGGAGTCCTCCTCTTGGGGACGTGTGGGTGGCACGAGGCTCTCACCTGCCATCGATGATGGTGATGGGGTCACCAGTCTGCATTCTTAGGGCGCCTGGCTCCATGACATCCTGGACACAACGTCCCTCAGGAGGCCAGGCCTGCAGAGACAGGAGGAGAGGGTATCAGGGGGTGTGGCCTGAGTCCAAAGGGTAATTTCGTGGGAGCAGGGAAGAAAGGAGACTCCTCTCTGTTCTTGCCCCCAACAATGAAACCAGTTCCAGCTATGTCCTCGGTCCTGGGCCCAGGGTGGGACTGTCCCCGTCCCCCGGTTGTCATCCAGGAGGGGAGGCAGGCCTGGAGTCCATGCTAAGCTGGACACAGCCCAGGGGTCAGCGAGCAAAAAAGGGGGGCCTTGTCTCTACCTAGGGGAACCAAGGCGAATGTCCCCTACCCTGCTTTTACTCCACACACAGCTCTGCCTCCTGGAGCCTCCAGAAATTTTCCATTTCTTTCCGGCCCCACTGCCTTGACTGTGAACCAGACATTGGCATCATTTCATTCCTGCTTTGCAGCCCGTCACCTACCTGCTCTTCCCATGTTCAGTGTCCTGCCTCCTATCCCTTCTTGCACCAATCCAGAGCGACAGAACACATAACGTGGGCTTCTGACCACCCCCCCCCAAAACCCTTCCATGGCTCCCAGGTGCCCTCGGAGTAAAGACTGAACTTCAACAACAGAGTTCAGTGATTTGGGTCATTTCACTGGTTTAACTGACCTAAGACTGCTCCTCTGCTTACTCTGTGAATTTAGGCAAAGCCCTTCAATGTCAATGCCATAACTGCCCCATCTGTAAAGGCCACGAAACAGTGGCCTTCCTGGATGGTGAGAATGAAGTAGTGGTGCAGGAAGATAGTCTAAGTGTCTTAGCGTGGTACATTCCACAGATCAAGCGCCCTGCATTAGCTCTGGTTATCTATGGCTCCTTCCTCATCCCTGCAGGGCGCCCCTGAGGTCACCGTGCTGTCTTCCCTGAGTGGCCAGCTGAACTGCTTTAACCTCTGCCTGGAGACACCCACAACAGCCCGCTGCTCTGAGCGCCCCCTTTTCTGGCCCAGCCCCCAGCCCTTGAGCCCGCATCTGTGTAGGCCAAGCTGCCTCCCCAGGGCTCTGAGCACCCTGCAGGTAGAGCCCTAATCTGCTGGTCTGTCCCAGACCCCAGCCCGGGAATTATCTGTTAGTCTTGTGCGTGCAACCCTGGGAGAAAACGGGGAGGTGAGACGGGGTGTGTGTGGGGAGGTAGGGGCTCCCACCTCTTGGAGCAGCCCCTCCAGGTAAGAAAAGCTAGGCCGGTCGGCGGGGTGGGGGGGCCCAGCAGCGCAAGGCGAGGGCGTAGAGCGCCCTGGAGCAGAGGGGAGGCCGAGGCAGCCGGGCCCGGTCCTGCTCCAGCCGCTGCAGGATGAGGTACGGCGGGACCCCGGCCCAGGGCTCCTTGCCCCCGGAGAACATCTCCCACAACGTCACCCCAAACATCCACACGTCCGACGCAGAAGAGAAGGCCCCCTGGCGCAGGCTCTCCGGTGCGCACCTGCGGAAACGCTGCTGAACGGGGCCGCCGGGTGGGGGGGCCGGTTTCCCCCAGCGCGACCTCCGCGGCGCCACCACCGCCCTCCGTGATCTCCTTCCCAAACCCTTCCGAATCCTCTTCCCGGCCTCCCCGCGGGGCCTGGCACGCCCACGCCGCCCGGATCGGCGCCCCCTCGGCCCCTCACCAGGCGTAGGGGATGGGGCGGGGCCCGCCCATGACGTAGCGGCCCCGGGCGCCGCGAAGGGGCCGCACCAGCCCGAAGTCCGCCACCTTGACGGTGCGCGGGGAAGCCAGCAGCAGGTTGCGTGTGGCGAGGTCTCGGTGCACCAGCCCGCGGGCCCCCAGGTACGCCATGGCCCCTGCCAGCTGCCGCAGGAAGAGGCACAACAGGGCCACGGGCAGCGGGGGTGTCGGGGCCGGCGCGGTCAGGCGCGCGTGCAGGGAGCCCAGCGGCGCCAGCTCCATCACCTGCCGGAGCGCGGCGCCGCGTGAGCAGAGCTCTGCCCCACTCCCCGCGGCCCACCCCGGCCTCTGGCCCCTTCCCTCCCTCCCATCGCGCGCCTGCCCTGGGAGCTGCTGTCCCGGCCGGCTCACCATCTGCAGAGGCTGGCCCAGTACGAGGCCGTGCAGACGCAGCACGTGCGGGTGCTCCAAGTTCATCATGACGGACACCTCTCGAAGGAAGTCCCCCAGCTCTGTGCCCACGGGGCCTTCAGGACCCACCCGGAGGGACTTGACAGCCACTGGGACCTGGGGTGTCCCAGGGAAAGGACACTCTCTGGCACCCAGAGCAGAGAGGGCATGCAGGGCAGGGGGCAGCCAAAATTTAAAAAAAAAAAAAAAAAAAATAGAAAGAAAGAAGGAAGGAAGGAAGAAGCAAAGACCAGAGCGGCGGCTGGCCCCAGCACCCAGAATGAAGGAGGCTCCCCGGACTCACATTCTGGCCACTGGGCAGTGTCCACAGCCCTCGGTGCACCACGCCAAAGCAGCCAGAGCCCAGCAGCTCCCCTCTGCACACAGCACCATCCGGGATCAGACACTTGAGTCCCCCCTCGGGCTCAGGGAGGGACAGGGGGCTGTCGGGAGCTGAGGTGATCTCCTTCTGCTCAGGTGCCAAGCCCCCAAGGATCTGAAGCAGGGGTGGGAATTAAGTGTGTGGAACCCTGTACCACTCCTCCCTGACACTCGGCCCGCCCCAGTCCCAGGCCTAAGCTGGCCCTTTAAGCCTGTTGCCCCCACCACCCCAAAACACACACCTTGTAGACCCAGTTCTTTGACTTGAGCCCCGAACGATGCTTCTTCAGAGCCTCGGCGAGTCTGCGCTGGGCTGGGGAAGGTCAGAATCAGGGCACGTGGGGGGTACATGAAGGGCCGTGGGGGCAGGTCGGGATGCAGGAGGATTTACAGGCCAGAAGAGGGCTGGTGGGGGGCAGGCTGAGGAAGAAGAAGAAGGACCAGGGGCCCCTTACCAGGCCGGCCCATTCCAATGCCATCCAGGTCCTCGGGCCTGACAAAGTCAAAGTGCTCCGGCCGGGTCACATTAAGCTCCTCAAGGATGGGTCGGTAGAACTGGGCCAGCTGGATGTCCCGGAGCAGCCTCAGCAGCCACAGTGAACTCACCTCGGGGACCATGTCTGGAGAAGGCATCCTGGAGGTCCATGCATCCAGCTCTAGACACAAAGCCCATGGGACTCCCAGACAGCAGAAACTGGGCCTTGAGCTCCACTCCCCCCCCATTCCATCAGACACACTCAGGTGCAGAGGGAGGGATGCATCAAAGAAAGGCAGGAATCAGGCCACTCCCACAAACCCCAGGAAAACCCCTCCCCACACATACCTACGGTCCCCACCTCACACTTGAGATCCCAGAGCTCTGCAGACCTGATGTATGTTCCTCTTCCCACTCTTGAGATAGGACAGCACCCTGCTCCTGGACCCCTAGGACACCCGGGTACCACATCCCTGCCGGGGATGCCCAGATATGCTAACCACACAGTGCCTCCGCCCTGCCGATGCGCGTGCCCAGACACATGGGAACCTGCCTCCACACTTGAAACACTGCTACACACACACACACACACACACACACACACACACACACACACACACGGAGACCTACAGACATGCTGCAAAAGACGGCTGAGCCACCCAGACACATGGCCTTTCAAGTCCGAGGTGTTCCAGAACGCTGCCGTGAACCATTCCTGCGCGCCTACCGGTGACACTGAGGTTCACGGCCTCTGAGATACACCACCTCACGTGTCGGAGTCTTCAAGGTCCACAAAAACACACAGCACACGAGACGGCCAGGGTCCATGCGCGCACACCCCTGAACTACGCATACGGCCCATCGGCTCCGAGATGCCCAGGCTCACCGCCTGGTCGGCACCCGAGGCAGCCACGCCTGAAATCACTGGGCATTTGTGACCCGCGCGGTCAGGTGCAGGCTGAGCTAAGCTCGGGCACTGCCTACGGAGCCAGGTGCTGCCGGGTGCACAGTCCCTTCCACACCCACCTGCGTTCAGCTGCAGGAACCCTGCCCGCACACCTGAGTCACTCAATCCGACAGGGCTTCCAGGCAACTCCCCCAGTCTGAGCTAACCAAGGCCGGGAGCTGTGGGCGCTGCCTGCACCGCACTCTCCCTTACACGCACCTGGACGCCCCCCTCCACTTTTAGTTGAACCCTGACGAAGGCTGAACTAGGGGCTGGGCGCGCGGAGGGGCGAGGAGGGAGGAGGCCGGGACCCAGGGAGACCGCCAGCAAGGTGAGGTGGGGACAGTACCCGAAGGGGGAAGGGAGGAAAGGCGGCCGCGGAGGGGAGGGGAGGCGAACAGGGCATCCGCGGACGCACCCCAAGCAATGGCCTCTCCTGCGGCCCCTGTGCCCCGCGTCCCCTCCCCGCGGGACCCTCACCTGGCGAAGGCGGAAGCTGCGGCGGCGGAACCACACTGGCCGCCAGCACTAAATCCCGGGGGGCGGGGCCGCAGCCTCGGGGGCGGGGCCGCAGGCCGTAGAGGCGGGGCCTGGCGCCGAGCCGGGGAGCCCTACCACGCCTCTCGCCCCCAACCCGGGAAGGCCTGAGGCGGCGGAGGGGGGGGCGGCGGGGGCGGCGGGGGCGGCGGGGGCGGCGGGGGCGGCGGGGCGCCACCCCGGCGGCCGACTGGCCCTCCTCCGGGCTAGACCCGGAGAAACCCTTCTCCCGTCTTTTCCCTCTCTCTTCCTCTACATCCTGTTTCCCGCCTCTTTCAAAGAACTTTTCATCCCTCCCAGGCTTCCTGGGACTTTGGGGTCCTGTCCCCCGTGTCCCCTCTCCCCAAATCTTTCACCTCTCCCGGCCAGAGCCCCACCCCTTACGCGGATCAGCACCAGATGGAGAAATGCTGCCCAGGCCCTGGGAATGTGAGGCTAAACAGGAGAGTGGGCGTCCTAGCCCCCACATGGGGGGAGGCAGGGTAGCGCAGGGCGCTCTGAAATGGAACCAGGGCGGACAGGTGTTGCTGGTGCAAGAAGTCAGCCCTCAGCCCACGTGGTCTAAGATTGGAACCGTTGTCCCTGGCCGGGCTCTGAATATTGGTCCAGTGTGCTGCCCCGAAAAAGGACCTTTTGGGAGCTCCCCAGGGTAGAACACGCGGGAGGTCTTGTGTGTGGGTGGGCTCCTGCCCCCCATCCCCGCTTTGTACCTAGTCTGGGTGGCCAAGGGCAGCACCCCATGCTTTAGGGCACCCCTCCCCATAACTGGCACTTAATTGGCCACGTTCTGGCTCAACCCTCCTTCCCCCTGTAATCTCTGTACACTGGCTGCAGGGATAGGGGCCACAGGTCGAAGTCCAGAACCTCCAAAAAGGCTCTGAGGAGGAGCATTCCTCTCCTTTTCCCTCAGGGGTCCCAGGGAGGAAGTCACGAGTCTCAGGACATCTGGCGTGTCTCCTTCTGTCCCAAGGAAGGATGTGCAAGCTGTCCCCAGAGTCCCTTGGGGGGAACACCCACCCCAACCTGGTAAGCATACAGGATATTCCAACACTGATGGGAAAATTTTTATAGTTTACAGTTCAACCTGTTTGGTTTCCTTGCCTTCTCTTGCCCTCCAGCAAGGCCAGCTTATCACACTGTAATAGCTCCCTCCACATCTGATGTCCCTGCTGTACTGTGGGATCCTCATGGTAGGGGCTGGATCTGTCTTGTCTATCCTTGTGTTTTGTTTTATATTTTATTTATTTATTACAGAGAGAGAGAGAACGCACAAGCAGGGGGGTGGGAGAGAGAGAAGCAGGCTCCCCACCAGCAGGGAGCCTGACGCGGGGCTCGATCCAAGGGCCACAGGATCATGACTTGAGCCAAAGGCAGATGCCCAGCCACTGAGCCACCCAGGCGCCCCTCATCCTCTTGTTCCTAGTCTTAGTATCTGGGACAGTGTAGGCATGTAACAGGTACAGTGCGTATTGTTTGCAAAGAAGTCTGCTCAGTCTGTCATTCCTCTGTCCTTTCTCCCTGCTTTTAAGACATCATTGGTATTTTGTAGTTCTATTAAAAAATATCTAGGTATGGATTCTTTTTTACTCATTCTGATCACTGTGTTGTATTTCCTGTATCTATGAATTCATATCTTTCATTGGTTTTGGAAAATTCTCAGCTAGTATCTCCTCAAACATTATTTTTCCTCCGTTCTTTGGCTCTCCCCCTTGGGGACTCTGATTAGCATTATTCTAGATCTTTTCATTCCATCCCTCATGTTGTTTAAACTCTCTTCTATATCTTTCGATCTTTGGGTCATTGTGATGCCATCCAGGCAATCTCCTTAGGTCTGTCTTCCTGTTCACCAATTCTCTCTTTGGTTATGTCTGATGTGCTGTTTAATCCATAGTCTGAGGGATTTTTGTCATTGATACAAACACTGGCAACTTTGTATGCTGACAGTACTTTATTGAGGTATAACACATTTAGGAACATGCCCAGATTTAACAGTATAGCTCAATGCATTTCTTCTTCTTTTTTTTTTTTTAAGATTTTTATTTATTTAAGAGAGAGAGATAGTGCATGAGCAAAGGGAGGGGGAGAAGTAGAGGGACAAGCAGACTCCCTGCTGAGGAGGTAGCCCTGAAGCAAGGCCAAGTCCCAAGACCCAAGACCATGACCTGAGCTGAAGTCAGGTATCTAAATGACTGAGCCCTCCAGGCACCCCAGCTCAATGCATTTCAACCGATGTACATGTGTATTGATGCTGATAAAGACCCAGAACATTCCAGTGATCTTGGAAACTTGCCTTGTGTCCATTGTTAGTCAATTCCAGTGACCATTCTCATGTCTAAAACCCATAGATCACTTTTTCCCCCAAAGATTTTATTTATTTATTTGGCAGAGAGAGATCACAAGTAGGCAGAGAGGCAGGCAGAGAGAGAAGGAAGCAGGCTCCTGCTGAGCAGAGAGGCCCTGATGGGGCTCGATCCCAGGACCCTGAGATCATGACCCTCTGAAGGCAGAGGCTTAACCCACTGAGCCACCCAGGGGCCCCCATAGATCATGTTTTCTTGCTCCTGACCTTCTTATCGATGGAGTCACAGGCTGTAATTGCCTTCAGCTTCTTGGACTCAAAACGTTTTTTGAGACTCATCTTGGTGTTGTCCGAGTTCTTGATGGGGATCACATGGTTCCCTGAGCTTTTTTGGGGAAGAATGCGTGACACCTGATTTTCCTCCAAAAGTCCAGCATCTTCACAGATCTGGGAGCACCAGAGGTCCTCCAGGAGTTGAACACATACGTGTGGAGGACATGGGGACACAGGAAGCAGCTGCTGCCAGAGAGGCCGGCAGGAGCCAGGTCAGGCACCATGTCATCCTTCAGCAAGCTCTCACTGTCTCAGGTTCTAGGGAACAAGCAGACACAATCCCTGGCCTGGTGGGGTTCACTCTACAGGGCCTTGGAGAACACGGTCAGGAGCTTGGGCCTTATCTGAGGGCTCTGATAACCGCTGGACGGTTTTAGGAGAGGAGTGAGAGAACCAGGCGGCTGCGTAAGCAACTGGGAAAAAGAGAGAGAGGAAGGACAGGGAACTCCGGGAAGAGGTTCTCGCCGGTTCAGGGGAGAGAGGTTGGCCCTGCTGAGACCTTGGCAATGGGATGGAGAGGAGGTGAAGGTAGGGGGCCTCCCCGACTGGACTCTGGGCCTAGGTCCTGTGCTCCAGCAGGAAATCAGACTGTTTTTCCAGCAGGAAATTGGACACGGAGGCTCAGCCCCACCTTTGCCTTTAGCTTGGGAAAAACCCAGGGAGTGAGAAGCCTCTTTTTTCCTCCCCTTCTCCCTCTTCCCATCTTACTTCTGGAGCTAAGCTTCTCTCATCCCCACCTGTGTGCGAAGTGCTGCCTGACCCCTCTCGGGGGGCACCCCTTCTAAGCTGAGATGGGGCGTCCTGCTAAGCTTGGAGGCCCGGGTCGGGCACCAGTCCCACTCGGTCTGCCTTTCCCCAACCCTGGCCCTGCCCCGCGGGCTCTGCATCCGAGAAAGATGAGCACACTCCCACCCCCGGCCAAGTCTTTGCCCAGAAGGCAGGGAACCAGAAGGGTAAACAGAAAGGCCCTCTGGTATCTTCCCCACCTACTGCCTTGGGTTTGGGTGGGGGGTAGGGCCCATCCCTCTGCGGAAAACTCTCCTCTCCTACAGGGACCCACATCAGCGCCCCCATAGCCCCTCCCTTCCTGCTCTGCTCCCTGAGATCGCGGGCCTGTCCCCTGCCATCTTACCTATGCCAACCTCTCAACAGGGGAAAATCCCTCTCTCTCTTT